GAACTTTTTGTTTGTCACATACAAAATCCAAAGAACCTTTTTAATTGGATGCTCAAACAAGATGTAGATGAGATGCATATTTGGGCTTCAAAACAAAATTTGTAGCTTGATATTTTAAGATGTAACTAAATATTATTTTTAAAAATCATATAAAGAATGTTTTTTTGGTAATTAAGATGGAACTTAAGCTAAATAAGAAGGTTTATAGCCCAGTGTATGGATAGAATTTAATTCTGTGTTGACTTTTCTCTTCAACATTTGGATAGATAGGTTCTTTTCCCTCTTCCTGACCAACCCCCTTTCCTCCTCTCCTCCTCCTTCTTCTCTCTTCTGTCTCTCTCCTCATTTCTCCTCTCTCCTTCTTTCCATCTCCTCTAACAAACCCATAGCAGAGTCCCTCTGTTCTTCCACCCTGAGGCTGACCAGTGTGTCAGAGCTAACCAGGGAGAGGAACAGAGAGAGAAAGACAGAGATAGCAGGAGAGAGGCAAGCAGAGTGAAAGGAAGAGAGAGAGAGAGTTTTCAGTCGGGCCTTTTTCAGGGGCAACCAAAAAAAGGAAGATGAGACAGATGTACAGAGTCCTTTTCATCTAGTGGAAAAAGAAAGCGGGAGAGGCCAGACTTTTCATGCCTCTCACATTTTTCTATCTTTTTATATCGTGACCCATCACTCTTTCCTTCTTTAGACAGCACTGGAGACATAATGTTGCCTGAATGTCAGGCTGCCCTCCTTCCTCGCTCTACCCCAGTCACTCTGCAGAATTTCAAAACGTAGTTTGTACTACAGTATATCCCTCACACTGGTTTCTTTTCACTCCCGTCAGTGTCCTACTAACCTTGGCGTCACAAGTATGCCAGTTCTGCCTTTACTTTAGCAACATTGTTACAGAGTTGATGTTTGGGAGATACATGCAAAAGTTACAAATACAAATCTGTGACCTTTGTGGCGAGACTGACCTCTTAAAACTCAGTGGGACTGGTCCAATCCTGACTCTTGGATATGCTTTTTCAGTCCTTTTCTTACTCTTAGTCCCCACTTGGGCAAGAAAGTCGAGAGGTCACAGGAAGTTCATCAGTTGAGAAAATACAAGTTTCAGTTTACTGCTGAAAGAAGGATGGTTCACGCACACGTTTACCTGAACATGATGCAAACATACCAATTTGGTCATTGCAACACTGTAGTAATTTTCATCTTTCTTTCTTTGGACTTTGTCCCTCGTCAGTTACAATAGATGGAAACGATTGCTCTCGTTGATGTAGGAGTTTGTCTTTAGAAGACCCATCTGCTTGTCCTATTGTCCTTTTTTTCCAAAGCAGTTTTCCAATGATCAAAACAGGTTTGGCATTACATGACTGAAAGGTTATTTATAGGAAGCGACTGAACTTTATTTGCACTGTGTGAAATTCAAGAAGAAGAGAAATAAACTGAGTGAAAAATGCATTTTATCTCCTCTCCAATCATTATTAAATCTGCAGTGAGCAGTATAACAGTATAGTACCTTGCACTGTGGGTTTGCTAGCAGACAGCTTAATTTCTTATACTGTATGAATTTTGAGGGACTTTGTCCATAATTTTCACTCTCTAAGGCTTTGAAAATGGCTAAAAGTAAGTACAGAGAGCAAATGTGGAGGGATTTCTGAGGTTTACATGTTGAGCAGTGACAACAGCAGAAACCTTTAACCTTTCAGCCATGACACAGGAAGTTTGTGTATCCCTGCAATGTTGTTGTGTCCTAAAGTCACAAAAAACAAAGTGCACTCTTTCAAGCGTTAAACTATAGAAAAGCCTCTGAATCATCAACACACCAGAGATTTTCCAGCAGTAATGATCCATTTGCTAGATCTAGTGCAGGCCTACACTTCAGATTATGTGTAGGAACACAGCTGAGGTGTTTTTGTGAAGATGTGATTGTGTGAAGTAACTTAGTGAATCTATTGAGTGTGCTTACTATTGTCACCGGTAGCCGTGTGATCCATCATCCACGCTGGGTTTCACAGGTGACCTTTTGTGGGAGAGGGGTCCTTTGTTTGGACTCTGTGTCTCTTTGTCCAAATAAAGCAGTGTTTTTTCTGCCCACATCTCTCTATCAGTAAACCAGAATCTTTAGTAAACAAAGTGCATTCTCTTTTTCAGCTCGGTGAGATCTGTGTTAGTGTGCCGATATTGATTCAGTCAATATCTATGGGCTCCATGTCTTACTTTGTGTGCTGCGTCGTACAGTGTGTGTGCGACGGCTACCTGAATGCCTGCGTATTTGTGCCATATCTGCTTGAGACTGTGTTTACTGTGCATGCACAATCCCTTACAATCTGTGAGTGTCTGTATCTGACAGTCTGTGCATGCATGTGTGTGTTCGAGTGTGTGCGTATGAGGAGCAGTATTCCCTGGGCTGCTAGTTATAATGTTTCTGGGGGTGATGGGGGGAACTTGAAAGCCCTGTGCTGCCCAAATCAAAACTAACAAGGAAATGATGGGGGCTCCTTTATCTCCTCTCTGGCCTGGGGGGCCGAGGGGGGGGGCGAGAACGGGAGACTGGGCAGGGAGGGAAAGAAGAAGAGGTGGGAGGGAGGGAGAGAGAGAGAAAGGGAGAGAGTGAGGGGAGGAGGAGGAGGAGGAGGAGAAGGGGGGGGGGTAGCCTGGCTTCCTCTTTGATTTGTAAAAAATGCATTACCTCCGAAATCAAACGGAAAATTACTGCGCCGAAGCAAAACACACAGAGCAGAAGAGAGGGAGAAGGGTGGAGTGGAAGGGAGGGCGGGGGAGAAGACAGTGGATAGGTGTGTGAATAGAAAGGAGGTGGGAAAGAGGAAAGGAGGAGTCACCTGTATAGATATGCTGTTGGATATGAAAAGGGAAGGAAGAGTATAGATTTGAGGTAATGCGTAGGTGGTATGAGAGGAAGTTGGAAAGACTGTGAAAGACAGGAGCTCACATATATGTTTTCCGCAGAGGAGATGAGCTTATACATGCCGTGGACCATGAGAATACGGCAAATGAAAGAGATGATGCAGTATTGATGACCTGTAGCCCACGGGGAAGAGGAAAGTTATGGATTGCTACCTCCAACACAACGTATATCTCATTTTGTAAAGACCAATCTTCGCAACGGCCTTCCTGTCAGATGAGGTCAACATTTTCATGGAAAGATGACAGTTTTAAATGTTTTCAAAAATCTCCAAACATGTGAACAGCGGGGTGTATTTTGATATCCTACTGGTAAACGGTCTAATCAAAATATTTGATCCTTTTCTAAAAATGAGTCGCACGGGATGAGTGCAGACAGAGTCTCCAGATAGTTTAATGACCAAAAAAAAGAGAGAAAAGGAACAATAAGAGTAAAAATAATAATGATTATTATAATAAATAGAATTAATGTCAGCTCTGCACTCATAGACAGAGAGAGCAGACTGAAAACAAGGAAGATGAAGAGCGGGAGGGGAGGGGAGAGAGGAGACAGTGAGCGGGGCCACAATCCAAAGGCTTGAAGCGGGGTGAGAGCGAACGTGAGACAGAAAGAGTCAGAGAGTGAGAGAGTGAGAAATGCCTGGAGTTAGCAATAATAATTTATACAAACACACCTTAATAATTCACGTTTCATTTCAATGCTGGAGGGAAAATCCAAAATTCACAGAGCATAATTAAATAGAGGCAGAGAGTGAAGGGAGAGATAGAGAGGCCAGCATTAAAGATACCAGTGTAGCAGCAGGCTATCTCTTCCATCTGAGCTTTGTAAAACAACCCTGATGAAACTGTGATATCCAAACTAGATTCCATCTCAGAGTTCCCCTCTTCATCACAGAAACACCAAGATCTCCTCATCTTCTCGCATCAGCAGATGTCTATATGAATATATTTAGGAGGCCTTATGATCATAAGCTCTTGTATTATAAAAAGGCCTACCCTACCTCACTGACACGTGCACGTATCATTCAACATTCAATGCAGAGCATGAAGCGATGTGATGGGGTGAAAAAATAAAAGTTTGGGGGTTTTTTTGTAAATCTTCAGATTTCAAAATGCACAGAAGTAAAAACAAAATCAGGTTTTTAAATAGTTTGGACAGTTTATTTTCTTGTGATGTTAAACATGGACGTGTTCACTGGACTCACTGCATCATTTCTGACTTTTATTCCAACAATTTTGTGTGTTTTAAAAAAAACGTGTAGTTTTATATAACCATATACTATAATTATAGGGGGTATAATTTAATATTACAAGTACAGATGTGAAGTGTTTTCTCGCTTTTGCTTGTTCACACTCAGCTATGCAGTGACTACTAAACAGTACATCCGACAATTAAAATAGCTCTAACTCAATCAACTAATAAAACGACACTCTTGTATGTTCAAATCTTTATGCAATTTGGCACTATTTGTAGTACTTACCTGACTTACCTAGGATACCTAAGGTGATATGAAAGACATTTTACCAAAAACTATAGCCCTTTAAATCCTTTTGAAACTTTCCTCATCTGGCAGACAATTAAACCTAACCTCTAATAGCCCTGAACATAACTTTGTACATGAGATTTTTTTGATACTTTTAAAACTTCACTAAGAAATAACCAAGTCCTATTATATATTTAAAAACCCAAGTTTTAATGTATAATGTGGCTCAGTTTTCAAGTTGGTTTTCAAAAGTCTATTTAATTCCTCCTGTTCATAAATGCACTATAGGGATGTCCACCACGTTGCATCAGACACAGCCTCAGGTGGCCACATCCATCAAACACCTGATCTCTACCAAAGACATATGAAACATAACCTTGCTATATTTCACATCGATTTAAAGTATCATTTTGAACTCATGTTGCGCCTTTAGACCCTTATGCAATACCTTCAGTTTCAACAAAATGTACTCTCTTCTACTCTGACTTGGTGTAATAAATGCAATAAACATGCTGGGTAGTTGAAACTGGCTTAAGCAAATACATCTCTGCAAAATTCTCTGTTTTTCATTTGTAAAAGTTAATGCCTTCTCTCTCTTTTGTTTTGTTCCAGGTTTTGTGGAGGCATGGACTGTAACTGCGTCAGTGATCTGCTGCTCCCCCCGGTGCCCGCCCTCTGGACGCCAGGTCGGTACTCTCATCAAAGTTAGTGACATGAAGGCAGGAGACTATTACATCCTTGCTTTTCTGCATCAAATCTCCTTAAAGTTCTTATTTGTAACATTTAAAATCTTTCAACTTATCTTTAAATCTAGTCCTAAGCCACATGTGTAAATCGGGTGAACCCAGACAGCCAAAACAAGCAAATACTTAAGAAGCAGCTACTTCATTATTAAAATTGCATGTTGAAATTCATCCCCAATATTCATCTATTTAAAAAGATTAACCATACACATTCATGTTTGCCAAACAAGTTCAGACTCTGGTAGTAATTGGTTCAATGTGTAATGTATTTACAAGGCTAGTTAGTGCCAGATTCACTTTGGCCTGAGTCAAAAAGCTACTTAACTTCATCTCTGATGGTCATAGAGTTGGCTTTTAAAATTCAGACCTGAGCAGCATCAGTCAGATCTCTCCCAGTGAGCTGTCATCATCCCACTGACCAATCTGTTGAGGCTAGAGGGCATTAGCTCAGACTAACATTGCTCAAGGCACGTGCTGTGATATTAAACACATCATCCCTCACCTCCATCACTCATCAGTCATTCAGACAGTGAACTCCCCCCCCCCCCCCCCCCCCCCCAGACACACACACACACATGCACACACTCCCTGTGAGCAACTGGACAAACAGGCATGAACCTCACCCTGCTTCTTCCTCCTCCCCTTTGCCCAGGGATCGCCTTCCCAGAGTGGGCCTACAAGCCCGAGTCGAGCCCCGGCTCCAGACAGATCCAGCTGTGGCACTTCATCCTAGAGCTCCTGCAGAAGGAAGAGTACCAAGGGGTGATAGCCTGGCAGGGAGACTACGGGGAGTTTGTCATCAAGGACCCAGACGAGGTGGCCCGACTGTGGGGGATAAGGAAATGCAAACCTCACATGAACTATGACAAACTGAGCAGGGCTCTGAGGTATGTGTTCATACGAGATGTGTTGAATGTCAGGCAACCGCACTGTTTGCATCAGATAAATCAGGCTACAACCCTGCGGTTTCCATAAATTGTTTACTCTTGTTGGATTTAATCCCCACTTAACATCTCTCTTTTCCATGTTGGCAAAAATGGAAAGATAAAGGTGGGATTTTTCCTGGGGAACGTCAATACCCTCAATTTCTCCTTATCTCTGGACATCCTAATGGAAAGTTCACCATTGAGCTGCCAAATAAAAAATTCAATAGGGATTTCAAAATTAAGCCCCAGTGTGAAATTGGACTTTTTCAGAACAGCAAAACTACTCGACACTGAACTTGCTGAAGGTGATTAAAACAATGCCACACTCCATACCTTCAGCAGTTTACACCCCCAGCCAGTCACACACAATCTTCTTATGCAAATACCCACTACCCAACTTGTTCCCCTACCCCACCCCCTCCCTCTGCTTTCCTTCGGCCTCTCGTTAATGGGGACTGTCGTCAGAGTTTAATTGTTATAAATTGGCTGGGGCCACAATTAGCCTTCTTAATTAGCCTTACTTAATTGCTCAATTAAGGGCCATGGCACAATTGCCACGCAAAGCAAAACATGTACACATCATTGCACTGGGCTCAGCCAGTGTGGATACATGCAGATATGTACACGCTGCTGTGTTTGTTGATATAGTGTGCCTGCATAATGAGCTCACCACTATTTAATGCTGAGGTTGTCTCATGAATTCTGTGTTTAGCACGCTCACTGTTTGTCGCATCCCACTTCGCCCCCACCCCCTACGCTCCTCCACCTGAGCACTCAGCTTTTACCTGGGCCAGATGGCTCCATGTTTTTCCTTTGCTGCCGATCAACGTGGCATCCTGGCAGATTGTACATTGTGACACCTCTGTGGGTGGCAAAGGAAACTGGTACGATGACGACCTGACATGCCCAGCGGGAGACACTGGGGGTCGTTACCATGGAGACCTCTCTTGCTGTCCCACCTCTTTGTGAATGTGCTTTGCTATTGGAAACGGTGATGTCTTTTGGTGTCATGTCAAATGGTGTCATTCCGACAAATTTCTAATTTTCTGGAAACAAAAAAGTCTCGAGCTCATCTGATAGTGTAACGTGATGCTCACATTATTTCTTCAATTGATAAATAGTCCTGTGCATAATGAAAGGAACATTTACTTCTTGTGTAGTATTTCTGTGTGAGAGGTTCAAACGAATTTAGATTTTGGGGGGTTTTGAGGCGGGGGGGGGGGGGGGGGGGGGGGGGGGGGTTGATAATTGCTGAATATAAAATTCACTTTACAAAACCATATTGTATTGAATAGAGGCAGCCAGACATGAATTGATTTGAGAAAGGAGGAGATGAATAAAAACACTGGGAAATCAGCACAGCTCTTGCCTCACAGCACTGAAGTTGTTTATACTTTACTTATAGTGATGAAACACAAAACCTTGATGTGTATTATATTAATCCTTCCCACCTCTTTTCCTTTTCCTCTTCCTTTTTCGTTTATCACTTCACTCCATCCCTCCATCAATATTCTCTCCCGCTCCTTTGCAGGTATTACTACAACAAGCGTATTTTGCACAAAACCAAAGGGAAGCGTTTCACCTACAAGTTTAACTTCAGTAAGGTTGTGCTGGTGAACTACCCCATCCTGGACATGGCCAGCTCGCCCTTCTTCCTTGCCCAGAACCATTTCAACGGGGGCTCCACCACACCAGACTGCAGCCCAGAGGTACACAGGGTAGGATGGAGGGTTTGTGAGAGGGGGTGGATGGGTAAAAGGATATATGCTGTATGCAAGTAGTAGATTTAGTAGCATATAAATAGAAAATTGTGTGAATAATGTGAGAAATCATACCTATGTATGTTCAAATTGTGTCTCTATAGCAGGTAATAAAAAGAACTAACATTTTAAAACAGAGGGAATTTAAAAAAGCCAAACTTTAAACAAAGAAAAAGGATGAAATATAGCAGGACACCGCACTCTGCTTCCTTAAATTTTTATCAACAAAAATTTAATTCAGGTAACTGAAAACCATTCAACTCGAGCTGTTATATTTCTCAGGCACCTGCTGTGCATTCCCCCTTTTTTGCAAAAGAATGGTGGTATTCATCGTAGCTATCTTTTATTCACTCTGTCTAATGGGGGTCATAATAGACTACAGTTTGATTATTATTTGCCCTAAGAGATTGTAAAATTTTTACAGAGATAAAATGTGTCAGAACACAAAAAAAGATGGAGGCGTGAACAAAAATGTCCTAATTTGGTTAAAAAAAAATAATGTTATGACTTTACTTGTGTTTATAAGATATTTAGAGATTTTTCTTTCTTTCTTTTTAATGGAAAAAAAATCAATTTCTGCGTTTCAGATTCTACACTAAATTATAGATGTGGCTGCACAAATTGATGAAGAAGGCTATTTTTTTGACTTGGGTATAAGTGCTGGTGTGCAGATAATTTTATTTTAGATGACTAATGTCCTAGAAAGTACAAGTAACTTGAAAGTACAGTAAGAGAGAATCATTCATCAATTGTCTGTGCCGTCCTTAAGATGGGGATAAGGAGACGCGAGCTCTGAAGGAGACCGTGGAGGGGGGACGGTTTTAACTTGCCCTTAAAACAAAAGAAGACGTTATCCCCTCTTTCTCTCATCCCTGTCTCCTATGGCGTATCCATCTGTCATCGATTGAAAATGAAAGAAATAGAAAGCAAAGGGGTCGCGTCAGATCAGATCAATGGCGGGTCATTAATGCGGTTTGTTAAGCAACGCAGATCTCGCAGCTTGGGAGTACAGTCTCGCCTTTCAAACTTGGGGCTGCAGGGTGACAGATACTACTGATCCGCAATCACGCTAGGGGGGAAAATAAATCCCCCCGTGTCCCCTTGATTCCTAAGATTAAACTGTTCCACTTATTTTACCTCTTCTTTGCAAATTTTAGACAGAAAAAAATCTACGCACTCACTGACACGCACACAGCTGCCCTACTTCTAAATGGATGTCATTCTCTCACATCTCACTGCTATTCGTCCTGTGTCCCTTTACACAAGCTGGCCCACAATCCCTCTTTCTTCTTTTCATTTATCCTTTGTGCCCACAATCTTAATCATTGGTCTCCATTTGACTCTGTACTTTTCCTCCCTTTGAGTCTCTGAGCCCGTGCGTCCTCCTGCCTCCCGTTTTTTTTTTACCCCAAGTCCCATGGCTTCCCTTTTTATCCTGTCCTTGCTGCGACTGTGTCACTGTTTGCATCACACTCTGCAGGGTGCTGCTGTCAACATATGACTTTACCCAGCAAAGTGCAGCAGCATCATAAAGGCAGATTTGTAGGAATATGTACGCAAGCTTTTTTTATTATTATTATTTCATGGTACAAACTCATCTCTAACCTCCTTTTCTACTCTTTGCTTGTGTCTCTTTCTGCCGCTCAGGCCATACAGTCCTTGTTTCCTCGTTTGCCAGACACCAGCAGAGGAACTTCCCTTTTCGATCGGGGGACCACAGCACCAGGACCTGAAGGGGACAAACTGAGACTGGACTCATTTCCTTTCCTAAGTTCAGGTGAGCAGAGAGAATGACAAAGTTGGTCAGATACATGCCGGTCTTCCTCTATTGCATGAAGAAAAATACACTTATATATATATATATATAAAGTGTATGATTGGCAGTGTACAAACAAAGGGAGGAGGAGAAGGTAGCAATGTAAGTTGAGCAGAGAGAGAAATGAGGATACAGTGAGGCATGAACATTTATTGTTAAAGGAAATAAGAGAGATGGCTGTCCCATAGCAGTCTACAGTGAGACTGTGCTCCAGGTGAGAAAGCCCAGGTTAGCTGGTGAATTATGCATGTCAGCTGTAGTGAGACACAAGTCGAGGGCTGGAGAAATCATCCACTTTTTCAGCGCAACTGTTCACATTTGTCCCCTTCTATCTCAGAAAGTGAGTTCAACCAAACACAGCACGGAAGTGTCATTGTTTGCTTGACTGATGGCACGCATGCACAAATGCATTTCATTTGCAATCTCTGCACACGCATAAGAAGGTATACGAATCTGCAGAGCTCGAGAGGTAGTGTGTAAACAGACTCACTCACACACAGATGCAATTCTCATCCCAGAACCGGCACCCTCTCCCTCCTCCCTATTCTGTTTGTCCTCAGGTCCTATTCCCCCCTTCTTCCCTTCTCACCCTCCTCTCCCTCCCATGTGTCCCCGCTGTCCTAATCCCTTCCCAGGCAGGAAGGCCCTAATTGAGGGTGCAGGCTTCAGTTTGTGGCCTGTGGGCGCCCATTACTGTGTTTTCATAAGCAAGTGAGGCCTGCCTGACTGATTCAATATTCATGTGTCTGCCAGCTACTCCTGGCCCAGCACGCAGAGACTTCACCACTGTCAAATTAGCCCTGCATAGTAAATAACAGAGTGAAAGAGAAAAAGAGAGTGAGAACGGCTGGGAGAGAGGTGGAGGGTGCAGCAGAGAGAGAATCTTTGAGTCGGTTGTCATTTGGAAGGAAGTAGACTAGGTTGAGAGGCAATGCGTTTGTTTGTTCATTAAAATTGCATTCCTGCATCACCCCTCGTTCTGTTTTCAAGTGATTGAATTCAAATACGCAACGCAATTTGCTGCACCATAAGTGTTTTTTGCTTAATTTGAAATGATATCATGACATGTCAGAGCATTGCGGGGACAAATGTCGACATTATTTCTCAGTGAGAATTTTCAACAGTGTGACTGGTTTCACCGCAATGATGCGCAATCAAAACAGAAGCAGAGTCACTTCACATATTTCTTTTCTTTTAAATATACAAGGAAATGATAAGCCGTTTGGAAGACGGGAACTCTTCTTAATTGTTTTTCACTGCAGTGGAGAATCTTTGTGTTGACATCTGGTTTGCAGCGGTGTGAAGTGGGTGTACTACACAGTACCGGCATGCATAAATGAACCATCAGGTTTTGTGTTGAAAGCAGCCGTGCCAGAATTAGCCCCTGTGGCTCCTGATTAGAATTGCTAATACCACTGACTATAATTAGTGAACATTCTTGGATGTTGTATGTCAGGAAACCTTTGCCCCTTCTGAGAGCTAACCTCCATCTCTGGATTTTCTCTGTCCTAGGTGCACCGTGCTATTCAAAACCCCCGTCCCTGCTGGGCCCGTACCCTCGCAACCCACCCTTTGACTACCCCTGGGGCTTCAATCCCTACCTCCCAGGGGCCTTCTCTCTCAACAACTGCCCAAAACTGCCCCCTGGCTCCCTCTACCCCTCCCAGTTTTACCCCAACCCCTTGCAAAGCAGCCTTTCACAGCTGCCTCACCCCTTCTCCTCCCTGCTCCCGCCTGGAGAGGCAGGTGGGGGTGAGAGGGGAGCAGCGGGGCAAACTGGCGGGACAAATGGCACAGCGGGTGGTCAGCCGGCCAGACTCTGCCTGCCGCCGTACCAGGGCAGCCTGTCGATGGGTCGGACAGACATTGGCAGCGGGGTGACACTGGGAGAAAGGGTGGAGCCCAATCCTCCGGGTCTCGGCTTGACCTTGGGCCTGGGAGCGGTCAGCTTAGGAGCTGGGACTGGGACAGACCAGCAGAGCCCCACAGAGAGAAGAGGAGGGGTGAAGCAGGACCCAGAGTCAGACTCAGACCTGGAGATAACAGATCTGAGCGACTGCAGCTCGGACAATGAAAATGAGCATGAATTTGGCATTCGGAAGGAATCCAGCCATGCGAACCGATCACAGCTTGTGTTAGATGGGAAGAAAGGAAGCGTGTTGCCTCCCATCTCCTCTCTTCCTCCACCAGTGTCCCCACATCCACTGAAGAGCCTGATGCCCATTACTCCTCCTCCCCCATCCCTGCCTAGGTCACTCTCACCTTCCATGGCTCTGCATGAAAGACACAGGGAGACAGAGACTCTCAAACTGATACACAGCTAAGACATTTTCTGATGTGTCCTCCATCTTGCCAGTCTATGGTCTGATAACTCTCTTTTTCTTTCCTTTTGTTTCTCTGAGATGAATTTTCCACTTTAAATCATCAGATCTTTTCCAGCCCTTTTCCAGGAATGGCAGTTAACTTCTTTTACTTCTAAAACTGCAGTTTTCCTGTTTGCTGTGCAAGTTTTGAGCTTGCCAGCAGTCCATTACACTACTGATTCATTCATCTTAGAATATATGGGGTGTACAGTTTTTAGAGTGTCGGCTGTCTCGTCCTTTTTATTTTGATCTCTCGCACCAAATGGTTTGTAGATTTGCTTTATGCATTGCCAGCACTAGTCTACAATTTGCTGTCTGCAGCTGAGCTACGAAAGAAGGCATCGAGGTGGGAAATTACAACACAGCAATTCCTGCCTTGACAAACATTAACAAACAACATCCCTAAACTAACAGAACAACAAATGATGCTCAGATCGATCCAATTTTACAGATTTGTCCTGTAATTCTACAGATTTAGACTATAAATAATTACTGTGGCTTTTAAGACATGGTCAAATACTGCCACCTAGTGGTCCTTTCACTCAATGTCGTTTTCAAAGAACTGCAAGTGTGTGAGTGAAGCTACTGCCCTGAGTTCATTTTGCACTGTTTTTTAAAATATATATATTGTTTATTGTGGGTTAATTTAAATGTTAACAATCCATCTGTTCAATAGTGCTAACTGTGACGGTCTGTGCGTATTTACTTTGTCTTGGTGCACATTTTCTAACAGGAAAGAAAAAGAGAGCAGGAAGGAGCTGGACCAATCTAGAATTTGTATGAATATTTCTGTATATATTTTAATATGGTGTACATGACATTTAATTATAATTCACTATGATAAGATTTAGCTGTATTGTTGTGATTTTATTCAGTATTTAAACATGTTGGAAAATTATAAGCTTAGGTGTATCAAAATTGAAATTATTAATGGCAGAAGATCTGCACTCTGAAGACTTTTTTTTAATGTTGAGGACTGAGCTCACGTTGGGATTTGTCTCTGATTTCCTCAACCCCAGTTAATTGTGCCCTTTGGTCATTTTGTTCTTGCCAGATGCCCAGTGTACAAACCCTTTGGGTTCAAAAACATGCCGGCAGACTTATTTTTCTAGTTAGCATTCACCCAATGTTCCTGTACTGTAATTAATCTAATGTGAATAATATTGGTCTTTGCATTTTCTTCTTTAAATCCTCCCCCCAAAATCTGTTTTGATTATTTTTCAATCGATTCTTTTTGTCCATGCCAGCAGCAGAGCAATTTGTTTTGCTTGAGGACACTAAACAGTGGTGGGAGGGAATACTTACAAAAAAAACTGTACCTTTCCTCTCCCCAGATCTTATGACCAACATCCTTTCTACAGCCCTGTTTCTCAGCGTGGAGTGAACAGTGAATCATATTGTACAGTTTCATAGCCTTTATGCCGATGGTTTGTCAAACAGTGGCAGTATACCGATTATTTGTGAAAGCTCTATTGTAAAGTTAATGTAAAACTCTATGTTTGTTGAGTTGCTCCAGGAAAGGCCTCCAGTCACCTCCACAGGAAGAACACTAACAGCTGTAAATACTATTTCCTCGTGTGTGTGTGTGTGTGTATGTGTGTACACATCCAGAAATGACAGTGCAGTGGTTTTACCTGTCATCTTTCTTTGTTTTACTGTAAAGAGGAAAAATGGAAAGTGCAAAAAGAAGAAAAAGAGTAATATCTTCAAAAGCAATAAATATTATTCTGGATAGCGGACTGTTGACTGTGTTGTTGAAAAGATTTAAAAAATACGGTGCTTCATACATCACAATTCTGACACAATCTGTGGAATTCAGGTCAGTGAAAAGAAATATTATATTATATTATATTATATTATATTATATTATATTATATTATATTATATTATATTATATTATATTATATTGACACCAATAATGATTTGATTTTTTTATGCATTGGTGAAAAGTCCATGAAAAGTGTCTCTTAAACTGAAAAAGCACAGTAATTGCACACCATGCCAATTTAATCTGAACTTTTCTTTTCCTATAAATAATTAAATCTTGTTTACATTTAGAGATCTCTGCCCAAACTTTCTGTTACTTTCTGTTGTGTTTAACTAATTGTTTACCTGCTTTTCTTTTAGATTGGCTTTTACAAGCTGGCAAAATGCAGACAAATGAGACATTACAATTACACATGCAGAAGTTGTTATCACCATTTTGATGTATATTTTAATGTTTTAAGATGATTGTTAGGATGTTTTATATATGCCACTTAATGATAGGAAACATATTCCATTCAGGGAATGTAAAATTTTAAAACTGTTTGTTTGCCATCTACAAAAAAAGGGGGAATTTATAAAGCATTGCGTAATAGCACAAATCATACTGAGGCACTTTCAATGAACCTCTTAGTATTACAGAGAGGAATTTATTACTCGCACTTAAGCTCAGTCAGCATGTGAAAAATATTTTAAAGAAAAAACACCTCACTATCAAACAAGAAACGTCACTGTGCTTGTGATGATCACTGGTACTCACTAGACAAAACATTTGCAATTGTCATTATCAACTGTAACTAAATTTGTTTGACAAATACACAAGGAGTGGGGCTGCAGACATAGAGGGTGAGTCTTTTAGAAAGGTGTGCAACAGAAAATAGTAACATTATCATTAAAGTTCAGATCATTTAATGTATATGTGGCATCCACGTCATGTGTACATCATTTGTCACCAAGCGCTTAGGCCTCACTACTTTTCTACGTTAATCCAGGGAGAGATTAAATTAATTTTCAAAGAAGTTTGTCAACCTGGAAAAAGATTTAAAGGTCAAAGAGAATTTATAAGCTGACACAGTACAGGTAGAGACATGTATTAATGATTTAGAGGTCAATTTGGAGACATTGTTTGCATCTACAATGTGTTCTTTCAGACTAGTGACACAAAAAATTCCCAAATACACATTTAAGGGTTTATTTTGCTACATTTTTTTTTATTTATGTAACACAGTGCATATTAATCAGACATTATATTTGTATATGTAAACACTTTACTCATGTTACAAGAAACAGTTGCCTTAATGTAAGAAAAAAAAAACAAATCTTCTAAATCTTTATTGTTAGATGTATTTGGAACGTTTGCCCTTTTTATCTCAGGGTCAAAAAATCTCAATGTAGAGCAAAAATAAATACTTAAATATTCATTCAGTCAGTCAAAACACACACACACACACACACACACACACACACACACACACACACACACACACACACACACACACACACACACACACACATATATCGTTAGGTGTAGATTTGTTGCCTGGTCGTTATCATATTTCTCCACAGTGCGGCGCCAGAAGGCTGGAAAATAAGTGAAGCATCGAGAAAACCAGGGAGAAAAGTTTTTTGAGAGTTCAAGCCTGTAAAATATAAATAATTCATATTAATACTTAATTTCCCGCAGACATAGTTCCTTCAGACATTTCTGATTTCTTAGCTTCGCAGTAGTGAAGATAATTTTTTTCTAAGCAGATACAGAGATTGACACCATCCTACATATCAATAATTTATGGTTTACACTGTCGGTCTTTGTTCAGAACATAATACACATTTTTAGAAAGAAAAAACTGTTTTGTTTTTGCTGCAACATTAATTATAAAAGAAAACTGAAGACGAATGGGTTTAACAGGTTTCATGTAAGTAGCGGACTGGCTAAGTAAACAATAGACAGAGGAAGGGTTTCATTTTGTATTGTGTTAATAACACTTTTTGGGTATCTCGTCTAGATATTTCTAAATGGTAGTAAGCGAATTCGTGTTTACACAAATATAAAGGGTCCATAAACACCGTGCTAATAAAATTCTCTTGTGTTGCAGAGAGTAGGTTCTTAATGGGGACAGGTTACTGTGTAACACAGTGCGGAAACAAGCCGTTTGTAGGGGTTACTGTTACGTTTTTATATAACATTCAAACCTTAAAACACACGTAAATTGACAAAAAGTTATAATATTGCCACTTTTATTTATTGCGTACTCGATAATTTCGAAGCGGTACACTGTAACTTCCCCCCCTCGCGGTTAATCACTCAGTTTTTTTTTTATGTGTATTTCCGCGTACAATGTTATTTTTTTTCTTCCCACTGACACACGGCAACTTCGAACAGGAAACCTCTTAGACGTCTCGCCTGTCGGTTTCTCTGTATTTACGGGTAAGTACACCATTCATAATGTTCACATGCTTGTGAACATTATCACGCTTTTGGACTTTTACGGGTTTCAGTGCTATAGTTTGAGTGGTTTTTGGCTATTTGTTGGCGCTGGCTTCCCCCCCATACAGCCAGAGCGGCAGACGATAGCGTCCGCATACAGGAATGCTGTACTCGGCTCACTGCACGACATCTCGTCCTGTGCGATCAAAGCCCATCTGCAGACGATTTTATTCAACATTTTGGCCATTTTCATTAGCACTGGGATAGCCACAGGTTTATTTTGTGAACTTGTTTAACAAAGGCATGGGAGTAACAGGGGAAAGAAAAAAGAAAAGAAAAAAAAACTTAAGGTAGCAAACTTGTCATTGTGTATTTTTTGGCAAAGCCATCGAAATTTTATACGACTGTCCTCAGTTTCGGTTTAGCCCAAACTACAAATCACTTTAATATTCTCAAATGGAGTTATGCTTTGTATTGAGCTAGTCAGTGGGAAGTTTATAGCTTGTGACCTTGAGAATTTTTATGTATTTTTTTTCTTATCTTCTTTGAAATAGTATCTTTATGAAATGTATCATATGGGTAATCTGGTTGTTACAGCTGTACAGTGTGAACCTGTGTGTATTTTACCTCATAAATGTTTTTATTATATCCAGCCTGTGATGCAAGTATACACACACATACAAAAAATACTCTCAGCACATTATAGAGGCTTAGGAAACCACTACCAGATCAATTCCTCTGTTTTCCTCTCATTTATTTGTCGACACTTTTTTCCCACAACATGAAAAGTAGCATCTGTCTTATCCCTCCCAGTTTTTCCCCCCTCCCCCTTTGCTTCCTGTTTCTATATAACTCACTTATCAGATCGGCCTATAGACTGGGGGTCTCAATGCAGACAAAGTTCAATAATTAGTGTCTGTATGTAATTGATTGCCAGTGGTGATGTTTTTTCTCTCACCAAGTGCATTGCCTGTGCAAAACAGGCAACAGTTTCCTGTGCTCACAGGAAACTATAATTACTGTACATCTAGTGGTGCATCTAGTACAGCTTCAGTATCTCATGCTACCCTAGACAGAGGATGCTAGGGTAGTGTGGGCTGTGTATGCCAGTAAGCTGTAAGTTAGTAATTAGTTCTCAAAGAAAAACGGTTGCTTTTAAACAAGTTGTCAGGGCAGTTTATCCAGGCTTTTTTTTAAAGTCACCAATCATGAGCTCAGTCAAAGCCACCTTAGAATCACCCTAAATTTTGATGATGCTTATTGCCCATTATTTGACTCTGCCTGTGTGGTAAGGGCATTGGAGCTGGCGGTTTTAGAGACTGTGACTTGTTCCCAGTCAGCCGCTGCACCCCAGAGGCCCCATGTGAAGCAGGCTCTGCCACTTCCTGTTACGCTCTGTTAGACTAGAGGTGCACTGCACTTGTCATCTTTCTCTCGCTACATTTTACAAGTGCAGGCTTGTCTGGAGCCCAAAGGCTACCTTCTCTTCCTTTTAAAGGAGTGTTGGCTATTTAATCTGAGTTGCTGCACTGCTCTCTCCCTCTCTTTCTTCCACTCTCTATTGTTTTAGACCTACATAAACTCAGCCATATCCCCTCTTTCTTAGTGAGGAGGAAGATAAACTCAGGATATCGCTACAGTTATTTTCAGTTGTTGTTTAGCCTATGTGAACGATACCAAACAACTGGAATGACGGGTAATGCACTTTCAGTGGAACAGCCAGCAGCTGTCCTAAGGGCCTGGTGGTGTATTGCTAGCACAATGATAATTTACTGTACTTGGGCTCTGACTTCAAAGGGAGCACAGGTATTCTTCTCTGGCTGAAGATAGTCTGACAAACAGTCAGCAGATAATGAGAGATGGAGTGGACTCCCTGCTATTCTCTCTGTGAGTCAGAAATCTCCTGATTCCTCCTGAATGAGCTCACTAGGTGAGGTGGGGTGAAGTTCCAAACAACTGTGTGAGATGGTGAACAGGAAGGTGCTCATGCTCTTCGGCGCGTGTGACGTGAGTTTTTGTGAAACCGCAACATATGACCTCTGATCAAGGCACAACACTATTGTGTCATTGTAACTACTTCTGCATTGGTTTGCATGGATCTCTCATACAGCAATAACAGCACAGATTTGTTGGCTGCATAGATATAATGTTGTAGCTTCTTTGCATAGTTTTTGTTGTTGTTGTTGTTTTTGCACGGTTGTGAAATTGTACCTGTACCTTTTTGTTGCATTTGCATAAAGAGAAAAAGGAGGCACTTTGCAACATCATATTTTTATTCTTGGACTTTGCTTGTGTAGCTTTGCGTGATTCACAGTTCAGACTAAAGTCGTGTCGTCTTGTACTGGGCTTCAGTGCAGTCTCTCTCTCTACATCCACCCCTGAGCAACACATTTCAGGACCTATCTATTTCTGACTGTCTTCTGATTGGCAGTCTCTTGCAAACAAAGGATTTGAACAGTAGGTGGGTTGGGCTGCAGTGCTTACAGGTTGACCATATTATTAGGGGTTATCAGTGCTCGCTGAAAGGAAATGTTTAGACCAGTCTCACGTTGTGAGCTTTTGCCTCCGCTGAATCATTTGCATATATGCTCATGATTAATATGAGCATCCATCATTGTAATAGCGCATATGTGTCAGAAAATAAGAAAGAGCGTAATAGAGAGCGAGCAGTATGTTTCTATGAGTATTTATGGTGCCTATGTGGCCTACATGTGGGAGTTCCCCTTTAATTGAGTAATACATTATTCATGTGTCATTATGGCTTTCCAGCATAGACCAGAATGTATCTGTTCTGGGCTTCTTCTGTGTTTTTACTTGGCTTGTCTGTTTTTGTTTTTGTTTTTCTCACCTGTTAAGTTCCGTCTTCCCTCTGCTGTCATTTATGTTCTGCTCAAACTGCATGTGCTCGAAGTGGATTTGCAACTTATGAGTCATATGTGTGCAGCAGTGATGTCCCGCTGCAAATGAAGCAGCCCTTTTGATTTCAAAATGAATGCAGCATGAATCCTTATGAGCTTTCTGACTGATGATAGGAGTTTTTTGTGCAATTTCAGCCTTGTCTCCAGGAGCTTAAGCGTCTCGTATGAAAAAGAAAGAAAATGGAAAGACTTGCATCTATCTGTCCAAATGTGAGTCAGACGGGCTGGCTGGAAGGCCGATGTGACAGGGGGTGAGGGAGTGAAGAAGCAGAGAATGAGCTCTTTCATTTGAGGGTCAGAGTGGAAAAAGCGAGACCAGACTCCACTCTTATGTTTACTCTCGAGGAGTGAAAGATGGTGGGGGCTTGGTGGGGTGAAAGGTCCTCCAGTCAAGTGTGTGGAGACAGTGTGTTGACTGTGTGTTAGCACACAGCTCTTTACAAACAATCGCTCATCCTGTGTTATACAATAAGTCATCATTTCCATTGTCATTTTAAATAATGGCAACTTCTATATTTATATTTTGATTACACTGTTCCACTGCTAGTCTACCCTACATAATGTATTACTTTTAACTGTGATGTTTGGTGCACATTTAGCCTTACAGCTTCATACATGTTCAAGGGAAAAATTAAAAAGAGAAACCCCAGAAAAAGCAAGAGGAGAGGATGAGGGATTCGTCTTTTATGCTGGCTAGGTAGTTGGATAGTTTTCACACACAGAAATGTGGCTCTGAACTTGAAGCATTCCTTGTGAAGTACCGGTACACTGGAAGATTATTATTGTGACATACCGAAAATAATTCAGATACCTCTCCTAATACATGGAGCTTATTCTTAGAGCTTTATCTATCGACCTTAAAAATAGGCCCCTGATAAAAGTAGTAGCATTGCAACTAAGTGTTCCTATTATTAGGAGTGTTATAGTATAGCATTGTTTGTTAATTGGAAATATTTAAAAAATGAAATATTAATTTGTTGTTTTGTTAATGACAGAGCCCAACTGATACAGGAGACTGACACCGATATTTAGAGATTTAAAGAATGAGATATTATTTTATATCAGCCGATGTTTTTTTTTCTTCTTTCATACACATGAAAGATAAACATTTATTTATTCCTTTACACTCTTTCCAACTCTGCCGGGATCAGGTTGTTGTTGTGCTTGTGGTGTTCCAAACACTTGTGTTTCCATCAGCGAAGTTGCCCTTTTGAGGACAAACTATGCAACATCAACTCTTATAATATTACTGAAGGGTGTTTCTTCCATCTCTTATTTACTTTTTAAATTTGAATTTATGAGGGTTTTAACATCCACATACCTGTGTTGATTTCATTGACCAATAGTTGTCGTCATTTTTTTTCCTGACAATGCAAGACAAGACAATAGCTAAATAAAAACTAATGCACAAAGGCAAAAATTATGATGAAATGTGTCAACACTTTCCTCAACTAATAAAAATGAAACTAAACTAATTTGGCTGTATAGAAAGGCGGGACAAGTTTGAAAGTGATCCAATCAGAAGTAATATCTTTGTGCAGTAAAGCTAGATGCACACATCTGATATGCCGCCGACAAACAAGGTGGAGGTGGGGGCAGAGGTGGTGGTTTCTCAAGAAAACACAGCAAAATGTCAACGCTTGGGAGGAAGAGCAGAAATTTCACAGCTGATGTGAAGGGAAAGATGCTGCTTTGTAAACTGAGTGGAGCCACTGTCACCAGAAAAAGACAACAAACTTTTACAATTTAAATTTAGAAAATAATTTAGATGCCCAAATTATGAGTTTTAGTCAAAAGGTTATGACTAAAAATAAATTTAAAAAAAAAACTGTCAAAATTAACACTGCTAGATTAGCAAAAGTTAAAATCATTGGAGTGCATCGGCCGACTGATACATTGGTGGCTCTATACATGCAGCTCTAGTTAATAACACAGAGCTGTGGGGCTGGTTTAGTTATATCTTAACTAAACCAGCCCCAATGACTAGCTAACCATTGTATCTGGTTGTATTTTCACAATTCACATTTTTGCTTTTTGTAGCTTTTAAAATTTCCTTCATTTATTGTGATATCATCATCATTC